CCCGAGAAAAAAAAAGCGGCAAGAACAAAATCCCCCTTCCAAGGACACCTCTGAAAACGTGCCAAAATCCAAAGACCCCCCCCAACAAATTTTGTTGGGCCCCCCCCGGAGAAAAAAAACGAAAAACGCGAGGAAAAGGCCCCAATCCCAGCGCCCCAATCCCAGCGCCTCGAAGGAGGTGGGCGCCGACCAGGCGAGGCCCCGCCAGGTGGACCAAACCGCGCAGCGCAGCGCGTAGCTGCAGAGCTGCAGCTCCTGGAGCCGGGGCCCCGTGGGGCCAGCCGGGGGGGTTGGGGAGGGGGGAGGGGTGGGGGGGAGGTCTGGGTTAGATTTGTCCTTCATTGCATAAGGCGTTTTTATTCTACAGTAGTATTATTTACAGTTTCATTGTACAGTAATATTTCGTATTGTCAGAGGAAGTTTAGAAGGAACTTCCGTGTTACGGCAACTAATTGAAAGCTAGCTCTCTCTGAGACAGATGAAGAGAAGGAACAAGCACGCGAGAAAATATGCGCGCGTGGTGGAAAAGCGTGGCCCCGTGCGTGAATTGGTGTCTCCGGAGAGCTGGAAGCTAGCCTGTTCGCGGCGCCTGGTCGAAGCGCGTTCGGAGCGCGTTCGGAGCGGGCTCGGAGCGCGGGCCCATTGGCACGGCAACGCGGAGGTTTCGCAAGGGTTGAATTGCGTGGCAGGCGCAGCACTTTCGCAAGGTGAGGTGCAGATTTCGTGGCAGGCGCGGCACTTTCGCAAGGTCAAGTTTTCCCAAGGTTGGAATTGCGTGGCAGGCGCAGCACTTTCGCAAGGTCAAGTGCATATTTCGTGGCAGGCGCAGCACTTTCGCGAGGTTCAGTTTTCCCAAGGATTGAATTACGTGGCAGGCGCAGCCCTTTCGCAAGGTCAAGCATAGATTTCGTGACAGCCGCAGCACTTTCGCAAGGCCAAGTACAGGTTTCGTGGCAGGCGCAGCACTTTCGCAAGGCCAAGTGCAGATTTCGTGGCAGGCGCAGCACTTTTGCAAAGTTAGGTGCAGAGAGACAGAGAGAGAGAGAGAGAGAGAGAGAGAGAGAGAGAGAGAGAGAGAGAGAGAGAGAGAGAGAGAGAGAGAGAGAGAGAGAGAGAGAGAGAGAGAGAGAGAGAGAGATACATAAATAAAACGAGCGATAGATAAATAGACAGACAGAAAGATAAAGAGATAAGTAGATAGCTAGATAGATAAAAAGATCGAGAAATAGACAGAGAGATAGATAAGTAGATAGATAAATGGATGGATGGATTCGTGTCGCAGCAGCCGGCTCAGGTCGCGTGGTCATGTCCAGGCAGCAAAAGTTGGCTTGGGCTCGAGGCGAAGAATATCCACGCGTGCCGGCTCAGGCCGCCTGGTCTTGTCGCTGCGGTAAAAATTGGCTTGGGCTCGAACCGAAAGATCTGCTACGCGTGCCGGCGCAGCCCGCGCGGTTGTCAAGGCAGCAAAAGTTGGCTTGGGCTCGAGCCGAAAAATCTCCACGCGTGCTGGCTCAGGCCGCGTGGTCGTGTCACAGCAGTAAAAATTTGCTCGGGTTCGAGCCGGAAAAACACTGTGCGTGCCGGCTCCGGCCGCACGGTTACTACGCGTGCTGGCTCAGGCTGTGTCAGCAGCGAAGGTATTCTTGGGTTGCGAGAAGAAAAAGCGGTGGATGTGTGCCTAGTTCACGTCGTCGGGGTCATTGGCTAGTTGCAGCGAAAGAGGGCTTTCACAGTGTTTGCCATGGGGCATGCGCTGCCAAGGGGAAGCACCACATGTGTTGCTAGGGTTGTTAGCTGGCGAAGCATAGTGGGGTTCATGTCCGCTGCCGTTTCCGGGCTACTGAGACACTTCGGTGTTTTGAGTACTGGTTACAACGACTCACACACACACACATGCACACCCCCACACACACACACGAACAGACACATACAAGAAATTTGCTTTGCTTGTGCTGTTTATATCATTTTGTTCATCCTGGCATATTGCAAGAAGATGTATCTCACTTATCGTCGTTTGCCCAATTGGGCCACATACACACACGCTCGACACACGCACAGACACATACAAGACATTTGTTTTGCTTGCGGTGTTTGTCTCGTCCTGTTCATCCTAGCATGTTGAAAGAAGACGTATCTGACTTATCATTGTTTGCCCAACTGGGTCACACACACACACGCTCAACGCACACACACTCATGGTTCAGATGAAACCGCAGGGAGTAGCTGTTAGGGCACAGGCGAGGCTTGGCGGCTCAGCCGGCCTCGCACGTAGCGTGTCTCTCATGGCCAAGCTTTACCGCTTCGTGGGCCCGCAGCTGGATCAGCTGAAGGCCTTGCGCCGAGCAAACCTGGATGTGGATGACTGCCTAGCGAGCCGAGCTTGCCTGGCGCGCGCGCGCTCAGGAAGGCAACTTGTGGCGCTCCACTTCTGGCCAGCGGGAGTACGAGCGCGTCGGCGTCTGCGAGACTTGCTGGGATGCCTTGGCGGCGGACGGCGTCCCGGCGCAGCAACTTCAGCAGCAGTGCGATAATTTGAATGAGCGCGGCGTCGTGACAAGCCGACAGTGGATCATGCTGAGCAAGGCGCGGGTCGCCGTTCTCATGAGCGAGGCGGACGCTCGCGGAGCATGGAGTTTGCTTGTTGGGACTGGGCAGCTGCCAGCGCCTAGGCCCTGAGGCGAAGACCGCGCGTACCGGCTCAGGCCGCGCGGCTTGCGCGCAGTTCGTGGAGCTGCCTCCGTGCGTGCCGGCTCAGGCCGCACGGGCCTCATGTGTTCACGAGCAAGCCGTGTGTAGAAAAAGAGCGGACGCTGGCGTGTTTCCCCCGGCTTTTCCATGGGGCTGGCTGCAGCATTTTAATTTTGATGGGCTTGGGACTTGTTCCTGGAGAGAGTGGAGATAGAGAGATAGAGAAAGATAGTAGATAGATGTATAGATGGATAGATAGATAGATGGATAGATAGATAGATAGATAGATACATAGATAAAAAGAGAGATAGATAGAGAGAGAGAGAGAGAGAGAGAAAGAGAAAGAGAGAGAGATGGATAGACAGGTAGGTAGGTTAGATAGATAGAGGGGTAGATAGGTTAGACAAATAGATAGACAGATAGGTAGATCGAGAAAATAAAGAAGATAGATACAGTGATTGATAGATAGTTAGGAAAGAGACGATAAGGAAATGGAAAGAAACAAAAAGAAAGAACGAAAACAAAGAAAGAAAGAAAGAAAGAAAGAAAGAAAGAAAGAAAGAAAGAAATAAAGAAAGAAAGAAAGAAAGAAAGAAGGGAGGAAGACAGGCGAACACAGGACAGAAAGAAAGAGAGAATGGCGAAGAAAAAAAGAAACACTGAAAATGAAGAAGAAGAGAAAACAGAGTCAAGAAAGGAAAGAGAAAGAGAACTATAGTTTTTTTATATTTTTGAAACTTCCGCCCACCGGCTTCGCCGGCTCTACTGGTACAAAAAGACAAGTAAAACAAAAGTATTTGCTTCCATTGCAGCAATGAAAAGTGATGCCAAAAGTTTCGAGCCTCTGCACGTCGAACCGGAAAGTTCGGGAAGGAGAGAGCATCAAATTTATCCAATTGGAAGAGGACACTTGAGCTCCCTGGGAAATTTTGAGGCACCTGAAGGAAAGGGCGAGTCAGGGTGGCGCCCATTTCGCCATTCCCTGAGGCTTGGCATGTGGGGATCCGGCTGGGTCCAATAGTCTTGACCCTGAATGCTGCCGGACATTGGGATAGCTTCGGGCCCCTCCTTCGTTGGCCGCATTCTGACTAGTAGTGCGTGGCTAGCTGCAAGTATACGTAGCTAGAGTGAGTGTTGAGAAACTCGTTCCATGTCTCCTGGATCGACTTGCAGAGGCCTAGCTTTTCGGAGAGCCGCTGAGGAATGCCCACAGGCAGCTGCAAATCTGGAAAGGAGACCAGGATCTGGTCGTGCTGCACCTGTGATCCGTGAGATCGGAGTCTCGAGTTTCCTCGAGAATCTCAGCCATGTGAACTTGGTTGATCTTTGAAGTCGGGGTTGATCAAGAGGTGCTTTACATGGGATGACGATCAGGGAACAAAACAAAGAAGATGGCTTGCACCACCACGTGGAAGAAGCTACGCATGATCGTTTGGGGACAGAAATCCCAAAACAAAACGGCACTCCCCAAAAGGCCTTTCTTGCAAACTGAGGGCCGGATTGTGACAAATAAGCAGCAGTGTGCCCGCAAAGGAGATGGGCAAAAGTCGTGTCCCTTGACTTTTTGTGGGGGGAGAATTGTCCCCTCCAAAGCAACCACACAAAATTCAGCGTTCACTCCCAAAACAGAATTGAAACCGATTGGGAACCCTCCAAAGCAAATGGAAGCAACCACAAAATCCATGGGAAGCCTCACACTCCCAGGTTCACTCTAGACACCTCATGCTTTGACCGAATCTCAGTCTTCGCCTCCTCCAGCTGAGCGCTTACGACGGGAGCAGCCGGCAGCGTTGTCACCTGAAGACCCCACTGATCACCGGTGTGGAGTGGCTGAAACAGGTCTGAAGCACGGGAAACACGCGCTGTCTGGCAATGCTTCCCTGCAATAGAGCTAAGGAACCACACCAACCATTGGAAGAGACATCTCCCAAAATTGGGGAAATCGGAACCTTTTGAGCGCATCTGGGTGCTTCTCAAAATGAGGACCCCCTTCAGCTTGGTTTCCTTTTGGTTTCCCTTCATTCCCACTCATAAAGGGGACCCCCTATTTTGAGAAACTCCCACATGAATTTGCATGGGGGCTGTTCTTTGGCTGCAATCCATGCCTCTGCAGAAGGCGCTGACCAATTCCCTTGGCCAGCCGCAGATACAGCGGCGACCTGCCGGAAAGCGACTCGGGGATTCCACGGATTCCATGCGACTCGGGGACTCCACGCGCCGTCGTCGGACGACTCCTCGGCTGTTTTTCCCGACGCGCGGAGCTGCGCGGGAAAACTTTCATGAGCCTACAGCTTTCAAAGAAGCTATTGATGTCAGCACTGGTTGCCAGCTGACTGCAGGCATTGCAACACCTCCGTGTGGTTGTGTGCAGCAGCCAGCGACAAAGGGCTCTGTCCAGCGTTGTTCGCCTTCGCCGAATTGGCACCAGCTTCCACAAGATAGTTCACAAAAGTAAGCTGTTTCTGCTCGCAAGCCACCAGCAACGGGGTATTCCCGGCTTCATCCGCTATGTCTGGGTCTGCTCTTGCCTGCAATAGGCAGGTCAGCATTGCCGTATTCCCCGATGGTGCTGCAAACAGCAAGGGTGTACGCCCTCCAAAGGCACTCATGTTTGGGTTGGCCTCTGACTGCAGTAGGAACTCCACTACTCCCAAATGGTTGTTGGCCGAAGCCTTGTGCAAAGGCATCATGCCGCAGGCATCCGCTTTCGCCCTTGCGCCTGCCCTCACCAGTTCCCGAACCAGCTGCATGTAGCCATGTGAGGCAGCAAGTAACAATGGGGTCGTTCCGCTGACGTCGGAGCTGTCCATATCCGCGCGAGCTGCGATCAACCAGCGTAGGGCTTCAAGCCGGCCGCTTCCCGCAGCCACAAGCAGCGGTGAACGACCCATGGCATCAGGACTGTTGATATCAGCCTGAGCTTCTTGTAGGCATTGCCACAGGTCTGTGTGGTTGCGTGCAGCTGCCAGTGACAAAGGGCTCAGTCCGGCATGGTTGGCCTTCGCCCAATTCGCGCCAGCTTCCAACAGAGACTTCACAATGGGGACCTGCCTTAGCTCGCACGCCAGCAGCAACGGGGTATTGCCGGCTTCATCTGCTATGTCTGGGTCTGCCCTTGCCTGCAGCAAGCATCGCACCGAGTCTTTGCAGCACTGCTGGGCTGCACGCAGCAGGGGTGTGGCAACAGACTCCAATCCAGGTGTGCTGGGGTGCGCGCGGGCTTCCAGCAATAGCTGCACCACTTCTGAGTGCCCAGCCGCAAAGTGTAAAGGTGACCTTCTCTTGGCGTCCAGCTTTTCCTTGTCCGCCCCAGCATCGAGTAGGCATCTCACCACTTCTCGGCTGTTCATCGAGGCAGACAAGATCAAGGGCGTCTGGCCCTGTTTGTCTGCGGCATCCAAATCGGCACGGTCCCGGATCACAAAGCTGACCAATTCCAGTGACTGGGATCGTGCTGCCGACAACAAGAGCGTGCACCCAGACTCGTCGGCCCAGACCTTGTTGGCGCCCGCCGCCATCAAGCATTCCACCACTTGAAGGTGGCCCTTCGAGGCAGCAGCCAGCAACGGCGTGACTCCCAGCCGCCGCGTCTCTGTGTTTGCCCTTGCGCCCAGGAGACTGCGCACGACTTCCAGAAAGCCTTTGCCTGCCGCCAGGAGCAAAGGTGAGCAGCCTCCGCGTTCGGGCGTGTCCACATCGGCGCGACGCTCCAGCAAAGCCCGAACCACCGACAAATGCCCCTGGCTGCAAGCCGCCAGCAGAGGCGTGGCACTCTCTCTGCCCACCTGATTCGCTTCCGCACCATGCTCAAGCAAAAACTGCACCATTGGCAGGAGCCCATTTTCCGCCGCCACCTGCGAAAACGGTGCAAAAGCGAAAAACGCGAGACCTGCAACCTCTTTCAAGATGGAGACAAATGTTTCAACGCTCTCTTTTGGGTGGCCCATTCCCTGGACCATATCCCAACCCTGGTGGCTGTAACGAACCCTCTGCAACAAGTGTAATTCACCTGGGCTTGATTCGGAAAACTTGTAAGATCTCAACCAAAAAGTGTTCAAGTCTCAAGATCCAACACCCAACAGGGGCTATCAAGTTCAACGGTTTTTCAAAAGTTCGTTCGGTCGCCTCGCGCCTGCAGAGGCGTCCCGCTTCTGCGGCTCCGGTTCACATCCGCCGCCGCCCTGAGGAGGATCTCGGCGGTTTGCACCTGGCCCTCGCTGGCAGCGGCCAGCAGGGGAGTCATGTCTTCGAATCTGGTCAGGGAGGCGTTGGGGTCCTCCAACATCATTCAGACATGGCCATGGGTCAAAAGCCAAATCGTACCCCCAGTGAACATCCCAATCCCCACTACATAGACTAAAATGGGTGGTGAATTCACCTATTACCATTGGTTTTGACCCAGAGCAACATCTCCATCATTGCTTAAAACACGTCCATCTCCTTTAAAGGACTCTCTTTTTCAGGTTGAAACACATCCATGTGGGTATGGTCGGCAAAAAAAGGGTAAACCGCAGATGGGTTGCCCGGGTAAACTGAAACATGTTGACTCTTTAACCTGCGGTCGACTAATTTTGACCCATACCCATATGTCAAATGGGGACCCGCCCCCATCCGCCCCCCCCAAAAAAAAACATACAAACAAGTAATGCTTTAGGTCTCCCTAAAACAACCTGGGGGGACCGTCCAAAAAAGAGCACATAGCCGTATTGGCACCCGTCTGCTGGTTCAGGAGGGATTTCCCATTCACCCTCTACAAAATCCAGAGGGTTCAAATCCTGGATCCAAACCACCAACTGAGGGTTCCCTGATCTCCCTTTCACATCGTGCATCCCATGGAAAACCCATGAACAACCCTGCGAAACCAGGGTTGAACCTATGAAAAACCATGAAAATCCATGCAAAACCATGGGTCACCCATGACAACCATCAAAAAACCATGCAAAACCATGGGACACCCATGAAAAATGGGAAACCCATGAAAAACCACGGGGAAACCCATGAAGAACCATGCGAACAAAAAAGAAACCTGGGACACCCATGGAAAAAAACGAAGGAAACAAAAACACCACCGTGTTTTTTTTGTTTGCGGAGCTTCTGCTTCGCCCGTCTCCTGAGCCTCCGCGAGGAGCGCCTCCAGCTCCGCGGCGCGCCCCTCCGCGGCGGCCTGGCCCAGCTCCCGGGCCTTGTCTCGGCGGAAGGGCACCACCACCACCTGAAACATCGGCTCGCTCGGCCCGGCCGGAAGCGGCCGCCATGGGGAAGACGTGGGTTTGTATTTGTGTTGTGTTCTTTTTAGTTGTGTGGCCTTTTTATGGTGTTCTTTTTTGTTGTGGCTTATTTACGTATTAAAAAAAAAGGAGGAGAAGCACTGTTTAGTGGGCTTTCTAACAACTGGTCATTTCGGGTATCTTTTCCCATGGTGGCAAGATCAAAAACAAGAACATCTTTTCGCGGTTTCCCCCAAGCAATGGTCATATTATGTAGAGGACCCTGTTTGATATTTACACCACCTGCAGATCCACCCAGTCCGCGTTTAGGGCGCTGGGCATCGCAGCGGTCGACGGCAGCTCTGTGCCCGCGAAGAGCAGGCGCTGCAAGTAGGGGCTGGCGCCCAGCACCGCGTGGAGATGCTTCTTGATGGCGTCGAGGCCTCACTGAGCTACCGGCTCGGACAACTGAGTCAACCCGGGTTTTGAGCACGTGGCTCAGCTGATCCTAGAGCCACCGCTCTCTGGAAGGCCTCCCTTCACTGGGATGGCGCCAACCCCGGACCCCCCCCCCCACCCTGAAGCCCGACAATTCGGGTGACCTGAAGGCATGGGTTCAACAAATGGCTTGAAGTGAGTGTGGCTCAAAAATAGGGACTGGGCGGAGGCACAACGACAAGCGTGTTGTGACAGCAGCAAGGGAGCAGCGAATGGAAAGGTAGACTAAAACCTGCGTAACTGCAGCTGTTAATTTTTAAACACACCCAAGTGACTTCACCGATATCCTGTGAACCCTGTGATCACCACTGGCCCTTATGGAGTGTGCCACCCAGGGGGGCCTAAGTGGTTCCGTTTCGCAAGCGAGTTCGCGGGCTCACTGAATCTCTGCTTGGGGGCATGAGGGCCAGTTGGAAGCCTCGATCTCCAACTCAGCCACCACGTTCCCAGACAGCGAGGTGATGCGGAAGCGTCGCTTCTCGACGCTTCCGCGCTCGACGCTGTCGGGATCGCCCATCGCGAGCAGCCCGCGCACGCAGAGCGCAGGGGGCACGGCTTGAGCTCAGCTCATGGAAGGAGTCACACGCAAAATTGGCAAAGAGCAAAGGTCAGATTCGAAAATACAAAAACGTTCGGCCTGAAACGTGTAGCGATGCTCGGTCTGAAGCCCGGGAACCACCGCCGCAAAGGAGCCCGCTGAGCCTGACATATCACTGCGAACCGGTGTGTCGTTGTTTTTGTTTGGGGGGGGGGCTTTTCGTTGGGGAAAAAACGCAAGAGAACAGGGCCCGTAAAAAACAGCACACCCATTTGCTTGCTTACATCCCCAGGAGCAATGGATCGCCTTTGCAGAGCACCACGCCGCGCTCGTCCACGTCGCCTTGGCTCACGGCGGCCGGACTTCGACGATTCGCGATGGAGGCGGCTGAGGCCGTGGCCGGCGCTTTCCCTCCACGCCTCTGCGTAGCCCACCGCTTGGCGCAACGGCACCCGCAGCGTCCATGCCTAGCTTCCGCAAGTTGGCGGTTTGGAGCTCAGTGGTTTGGTGGTGATGGGGTGTCCCATACCTTCTTGAGCCAGCAGGCTCAATTCCCCAAACCAATCCAAACCATCAATTAAGGGATACCTGAGCCTGGGGACACGTGCAAAGAAAAATTAGAGGGAAGGCAGAACAGCCCATTGCCTGTGCTTGTCTGCCGGCTGGATAAACCTGGCAGGAGACAGCAGCCAGCCACTGCAACTGGCCGGTTTGCATCAAGCCGTGATTCACGCACATCTTGCACTACCTCGCGCGAGCCTTAATCACAAACTCCGTGATGTCCTCCTCATGAACCACTTGACTCAGCGTGTCCTCTAGCACCTGAGCCGAACTCCCGAACCCGTGCTTCTGGCATGAGAAGTCACCCGTCACTTGCATCGTCATGGACGCTTTGAGCACCTCTGCATCCCAGGTCAGCACCAGCCTTGGGATGCGAACTGCGAAACGACTGCGTCTTGCCAAACTCTCGAAATATCCAGCCCCAGATCCCAAACAAATGAACCGTATATTTACATATACAGAAAGATCTAGGTATATACATACATACCTTTTTAATTATGTATATGGTGTAGCGTCCCCACCCCCTTCGCCCCGCATGGGTGATACAGGTACCCCCCCCTGCCTTGTCCTTCTGTGGTCCTATGGTTGGGTTATGGTGCAGGGTTGGTTTAAAGGATTCGCTTAGGTTTAGGGTCATGGTTGGGTTGGTTTGTGGTGTTAGGGCTGGTTTAGGGTTGGATTGGGGCGGGGGGTTCGGTGGCGTTCCTGGGAGGGCGGTCGCCTGGTGGCACCATGCAGAACGATCTTATGTATGTATATATATATACATACGGCCAACTCCTGGGGTTTGCCCGGGCCCGCAACTTCCCCGACCCTAAACCTTAACCTTAAAACCATAAACCTTAACCCTAAAAAACCTCCACCCTAAACCTTAACCCTAAAACCATAAACCCTAAACCTGAACCCTCAACCTTGAACCCTAAACCTTAACCCTAAACCTTGAACCCTAAACTTTAATCCTAAAACCTGCTAGAAAGGAGAGTATGTGATGGCGTGAAAACAAACTCAAGGAATGCCAAGCATGACGTTCCCACTCGCCACAACTCATGTTGCTCGAGCCCACTCATGGCATCATGAAACGTTGTTGCCCACCATGAAGGGAACACAAACCTCAAGTCAGCACTGGTCAGAACAGAAGCCTCAACTCAGCACGAGTCAGATACACATATGCACATATATATATATATGTATATATACACACGCTTGTACTCCTGGGCAAACCCCGGGCGTTGCGTGTATATATATATATACATACTATTACCCCCTCCCCCCCAAAAAAAGAAGCAATACCAGCCAGCATTGCTTGTCAGTGTTTTGTGTGTGTGTGCACTTTTAGTTGTTCTTGACTTCAGCAATCATGCGCATGTGTTGTCCTCTCCTACGGACAAACCCTAAAATCTGAACAGGCAGACAGACAGACAGACAGACAGACAGACAGACAGACAGACAGACAGACAGACAGACAGACAAACAGACAAACAGACACACAGACACACAGACAGACAGACAAACAGACAGACAAACAAACACACAGACACACAGACAGACAGACAGCCAGCCAGCCAGGCAAGCAGGCAGACAGACGGACGGACGGACAGACAAACAGACAGACAAACAAACAGACACACAGACAGACAGACAGACAGCCAGCCAGCCAGGCAAGCAGGCAGACAGACGGACGGACGGACAGACAAACAGACAGACAGACAGACACACAGACACACAGACAGACAGACAGCCAGCCAGCCAGCCAGGCAAGCAGGCAGACAGACGGACGGACGGACAGACAAACAGACAGACAAACAAACACACAGACACACAGACAGACAGACAGACAGCCAGCCAGGCAAGCAGGCAGACAGACGGACGGACGGACAGACAAACAGACAGACAAACAAACACACAGACACACACACACAGCATGATACATGCGGTAGAGAAACACACATGGGCCCGACGAGTCCTCGAGTTGCGCAAGTGCAATCAAGCAGGCCAATGACAACAGAACCTGGTCATATCTTCGCCTATGCGGCCACTACACAATTGTGTACGACGAAACATATTGCTGGTGAGTACGCCCTAGCTAAATGAATACGCTTTATACATGTGAGTTCATCGCGTCATAAGCAGCCCACAATTGACAAACACAGCTGATGATATCAACTGCTACGCCCAGAACTAGAAAAGACTGTTGAACGCCTCGTAAACTGGCCCATCCTGGGAACTCATATACCGTGCACTTTGCTGTCAAACCAAACCGTGACATGACGTGTTATGATTGTAGCAAAAACATAGAGATAGTTAGCGCTTGCGTAACTTGCTCCAAGCAATGCGTTCCGTCTGACATGCCTACCAACTCTTTGGTGGAATTTGTGGGATAGTATTTGGCTGTCAAGCCTTCCAGGCTTCTAATTGTCAGCATTCCTGTGAGAGTCTTTCTTTTGATTGCTAAAGTGCATGAGCTACTCAGATGCCCTTAGCAAGTACCCACAACCCAGTGTGTTGCTGTCAAACTGGCATGCTGGATTGCTACAGCCTCAGCTATTTCCACGTGTTCTGAACATGCATGAGTCCTTAAGCATGGTATGAATGGTCCAAGGAACACCTTCTGCAATGCGCAACAATGCCGAGGTGCTCCACAAATTTCAATCCTAGACCAATGTGCCAAAAAAGCTGCAAAAACAAAAACACACGCACAAACAAACCAAAGCCAAACGAAAGCCAAACCATCCTGGCTTCAGTGGCGGGTAGGAGTGGCATTTTGGTTGCTGTGTTTTTGGTCTTGGGTCATTTGGCTCACATTTTCCCAACTGTTGCATGCCGTTTGATTGTATGCTGCCACTTCTTTAAAGTAGAGCCCGTCAGAAGTTGACCACCCCCCTGGCAGGGCGTCTGAATTTTAAGAACCCCCAACACCCTTACAAATCACTGCACATAACATTCAACGATATAACTTTGGCCGATACCTTTTTTTGAGGGGTACCATGCACCATGTATATACATATGCATTTATAATATATGTTCGTGTGACAGCTTTCTCTTCTTGCCAAATCTGGCATTCTGCAACCAAACCAATTTGGCAAACCCAAATCCGCCTGAGGCGCCCACGTGTCGTGGGTGTGCAGCAGGCCATGGGGAGGCTTCACTTGTGGAGCCACACGCCAAGTGCTGAGTCGCGCGCTCCTCGAATCAAGTTCGGATGAGCTTTTGTCCAGGAGCAAAACTAAATATACATAGGGTTACATATGTGTTTATATATTTCTAGATAGTATGGTGACAGATATATATATATATATATATATGTATGTTTGTATTATTGATTTACGTGTCTATTTATTTATTGTTTGTGGGTTTCAGGGACACCCTTTCTTAGTGTCTTAGTGGAAGAAGGGAAAACCACCCCATTTAAAGATTCCCTTATTTTGAGACAAACCCATATGGTGTCCTGTT